GCCAGCCAATCTGAACAGAAATTCAGGCAGATGTCAATTATTTATGAGAGAGGTAGGTTGTTATGAGAACTACTATCAGCTTGCACAGAAAAATTGTCGCGCACCTGCGGCACTGCCGATTTGAAGTCGTTCAACGTCATGTCGGTAATGTTCTGCTCTGAAGACCTGGTGAGCTGAAAAGAGATAGAAGCAGGATCATGTCCGTGGAAAGTTGGCAGTGAAATTCACAGATGCAACAGTACTCTCTTCTGGAAGAGGGATTGATGGTGACAGATCGAAGAAGAGGGCGTTCACGCAACCAGTTAGGTTCTCTTGCGATTAGAAGGATCATTGTGCAATCACCTAAGAGGGTATCCTCCGTGTGCGAAGCGAGTGGGTCCGCAGGTGTAGCCCCTGCGTCAGTAATATACTACACGCACTCAGTGGTAGAGAACAACTAGAAGTGATAGGGTACAAACAAGTAGCGCGTTCGGCTATAGCTGGGTGCATGGCTTTTAGGCGGGAGAGCAGAGAGACAGCACTCAAGAGCCGCTACCCTCCAACCCTTTTTTCTTGGATATTTGACCGGAGACACTGGAACGCTATTGGAGCTACGGAGACACAGGCGATTACCAGGATCTAGGAGGTGACTGTATAGTTTGTCTTCAGAGTCTTCATTGCCATCAATGAATGTTCTTTAATACGTAGCTGGAAAAGTTCAGAAAAGTTTTGGCTATTGACAAATAAGAAATTCGTCTTTGCAGCGGTAAATAATGGCCCTAGTGTGGAACTTCGGCCGTGTTGAATTAATTCCTTCACAGCTTTATGGTTCCATTTCTTTTTTCTCCCCATCGTCATTCCTCGGTTCGCATTGATCCAGTCCTCCTTCGTCACATTTTCTTGTATCAAGGACATCTTCTGCCGTGGTGTTTACTATACTTTGGTTATTCATTTACTTATTTATTCAACACTATGTATAATGTACACTACAATAATGTGTGGCAGAACTATGGAAACTCATCCCGCAGTAAAATTACTCATTTACCCACGATACTTATGGCGCTAACCGTCAAGGTTTTTATCACAGAGGGTAATAGTAGAACTGCGAAAGACTCAAGGTGGAAGATTCTGATGATATACCTGCCGTTTAGCATTGCTCTCCCATTTGTTTTGAGAGGGACCATTGAGACTGCACCCTCCTCATCGTGCTGTCCTCAGGCCTTTTGAATGCGCGCTCATTACAACCGCTCCTCTCGTGCGTTCAGCTGTAGAGGCCGTGTGCATGTTCGCGATGACGTCCTTTTCCTGACTCTGCCTATTGGGGTCCAGTCACGTGCTCATCTGTAGAGTCCTTTCAGCTCAATGTAGCTGCCTGTTGTGGGTTCTGCCCCAGGGGACCATATTCCTGTCGCGATGCTTGGCTGCACGCATGTTGTTGGGGCTTCAATGACTGATCCGCGCTATCGTTCGCTTTTCATTTACATGAAGTCCTCTACTGCTTAACGTTTCTGCTTAGTATGGGTTCGAGCACGATGTTCCGTTCTTGTCTTCCCACTATAATGAACAGATTGTCCACTTTTTCAGGCTCCCGGGTGCCTGTACACTCAAGACCCTTCTCATCGAACGCAAGTACTTGAATTTTTCTGTGCTTCATACCGGTTGCACACATTCCTTAACACTCGCATCCTACTTTTTAGTAGAGCAGTTCTTACATTCCTCTCCTTATCCAAATCGTTTTCTTTTTTTTTCTCTTTTGTTTCTTCTCTGGCGATGTTTCTGTTATGTATGTGATTTTTCTTTCTTTTGAATTTCTGGTTTGTGACTTGCGATTCTTAGTTGATGTGGTTACGTATTGTATGTTTCGATTATTTTTTGTCTGTGGTTTTTTGTTTTTTTGTTGTTGTTTCTTCTTTTGTTTCTATATTAGTCTGTTTTTTTTGTTTTATATATTTTTCAGTTTTGTTTTTTTTTTTTTTTTTTTTTTTTTTTCTTTTTATTAAATTTTTTGTGTTTTTTCGTTTTTTTTATTGTATGATTCTGATTTTCTGTTCTTTGTTGTTTGTGGTGTCTGAAGTCTTGTGTCTTTCTGCTTTGTTCCCTCTTGTTGTCTTCATTTTTTTGAGGAAATGTTTTTAGTTTCATTTTTTTTTTTTTTTTTTGTTTCAATTCATCTCTTGATTTATTCTTTCCTTATCTCTTTTGTATAAGTCAGTTTCTTCTTATCTCTATTTGTTGTTTGGTTATTTTTAGTTCTAATTCTTAGTTGTTTGAATTCGACGATATTATTAGTTTGTCGTTTTTCTTGCTTGCTCATTTTTGAACTTCTGTATGTGATTTTTTTCATTTTTTGTTTTTGTTTGTCAGTTTTCAGTGTTTGTTTTTTGTGAATGCGGTAGTACCATTCTTCCGCAATAAAACCTCAAAACTATTTTGTGCTACTAGTTCCTTTCTATATGCTTTTTCTTTCTTTCTTCTCTTCTTTTCTTTCTTTCCAAGTGTCGTGGGGCCAGTTTGCTGGAAGAATTGGACCAAGCGATACTGACCATGAGATGCAGGCGGCGCATATACAGTCGTGATCCCTCCGATTGGCCATCCGTAATTGCGTACCTCTGCTGGGACGCGACAGCGGCCGGGCCTCTCAGCGTACTCTTCCTCTCTGCGCTCTGCCCCGCAATAGCCGGCTCGCGCAATCAGCTGATCGCCGCTATTTATTTTTTATTCAAGCTGTTATTCTGCTTCCTGAACGCCAGAAAAGTGAGGTAAGTTAGTATTATTTACTCTAATTTTAGGTTCTATAAAATATTTCGCTTTATGTCGCTATTTAGACTGTTTTAGTAGTGGTTTCGTCTATTTTTTGATTTTGTTTAGGTGTTCTCTATTTATTCTTCGAATGTTGGACATCCTCGACACTAATAAGGACACATCACGACATTGTCATGGAAAGCTGGTCCAACATTCAAAGAATAAATAGAGAACACCTAAACAAAATCAAAAAAATAGACGAAACCACTACTAAAACAGTCTAAATAGCGACATGAAAGCGAAATATTTTATAGAACCTAAAATTAGAGTAAATAATACTAACTTACCTCACTTTTCTGGCGTTCAGGAAGCAGAATAACAGCTTGAATAAAAAATAAATAGCGGCGATCAGCTGATTGCGCGAGCCGGCTATTGCGGGGCAGAGCGCAGAGAGGAAGAGTACGCTGAGAGGCCCGGCCGCTGTCGCGTCCCAGCAGAGGTACGCAATTACGGATGGCCAATCGGAGGGATCACGACTGTACGTTCTCTGGGCATGAAAACAACATTTCCGGAAAACTTGTCCGGTTAGGAGCCCTTATTTTGCTTTGTTTTTTGCTTTCGTTTCTTCCTTCACTGTCAGGTCACTGACAACCCTAATTACATTGCTGGACTTCACCACTAACGACTGGCAATCGCGAGGGATGTCTTTGAGGTCAAGTACGATGATGTGAAGAGCTATGATTCTCAAGGTGACGACTTACTCGAGCTGAACACAATCTGGTAATCAGAACTCACTTTATCAATGTCTAACATGAGCTGAGCAACGTCTTCAAGCATATTTTGCCGTTGTAGTTCGTCCGGTGAAATGAGCGAAAGTACTGGATCGTCGTTGGATAGATTCTGAACGATCAATGATACTGATAGCTACATTATTACTACAATCCTCCATGACGGATAAGAGTTCTACTGTCGATTTGCACTTGCAGAGCGGTTGCAACTCTTTGTTGCGTTCCAGGATTAGCAAATCTGATGAGATCGCTCGAAATTGGACCAATGATCTCTGACAAATCAGGTGGTCGGAACTGAAACCATGTATGCCATGAAGGGAAAGAAACGCGCTCAACCCTAGAAGTACAACCACTTATTCAGAATATCTCACCTGTAAAATTAGTTGAGAGCGATCCTGTGGGTGCACACCAGTGCTGAACACCACAAAATTGAATTTGCCGTCGCATACAGTCAAGCATACCGCTTATGTCGCCCCAACGAAATCGCAATGGAAGTAGTCGCCAGGTGAGAATCTCGTGCACTGTGGTAGCAAACCTGTACTGAGATGAGGTTCGAAATTGCATGCCCATCCCAGAATCGGGGCCACAGTGGAGATTCTTTCAAGAGGTTATGAAAGCAGGTGAATATCCACTTTGCTGCTGAATCATGAAACAGCCAATGAATGAATTTAAACGCAGGCAACCGTTGCATTCTGCTTGTTTTTAGCCTTGAAATCTCGAGGCAAGCTCCTAGAGGCAAAAAACGCAAAAAAAAAGAGGCAAAAAAAAAACCGAAAACAGATTCCTGAACCTTTCTTTGGGACTGGTAGGATCTCCAACGCGATTTATTTGGGAATTCTGAGTCCGTTTAGGGGCATAAAGTACCTAGCAATGGCCAGTCTGACACTAGGACTCGGAATCCTCCCTGTAGCAGTTTTACCTATCCGAGAATACTTATTTCAAGAGAGGACTTTCGAAATGACTCTGCATTTTTCAAGCGGAGGGGCATACTTTTACTTATGATGATTGCCATTCAAGCGAAGGGAGGGGACTCAATCCACAGCATTGTGCGCTGTAGCGCTGGAAAGTGTCAGGGGGCTGGATTCGACGTGACACCAGCCCGTTCCCCACCAGTTGTTGGAGAGGGTAAGCCACAAACGACTGATGGGATAGGTTGATGCCGTGGGCCAGGTCCAACCCCCCCCACGGCCGCTTCCCGTGGCTAACCATGCTTTCCTTCCCTCTGGCAGCTCTTCTTTGGTAGAAACTCTGTCTTGGGTAGATAGAACACTGGTTCTGACTTTGGCTGGCTAAGCCAGTTCATGACATAAACCATTAAAAAGCCCCCAAAACTCTAAAGGGAGTGCAAGTTGGAGGGTGGATGGATTAGAAAGTGGTTCATCAACAGTGGATGCATTAGGCTTCAAGTTTTTTTCTGATGCAGTGACGTTTCCAATACTGGGATGCTTTTCAGTGGCACAGTAAGCTTTTCTATGAAGTCCTTCTTCAATCTTCTTAATGTTTATGCACTCATCACATCTGATGTACGCAAATATAATGTGAAATACCTTTGTTGGAAGTCCAAACAAGACGAGTAGACGGCGCGTGACAACCGAGCTGTTCTTGAAGTATCATTGGAATCTGTACTCGTCAGTATACCTGAAGGCTATCGCCATTTTCAAACAAGGTAATGATGGAAATATCTTTTAGAACCGGTGCTATCTTTCAACGATGGTGCGCACATCTGCGTGTTTCGCGCAGTAATTCTCAGATAACGGTAACTCGCGAAAGGCTGGATCATGAGCATAAGGTAGCGTTCAGACTTGTCTGCGATGCAACTGTCGCGGTTGCAGTTGTACCAGACCCCAGCTTTCCATTATGTTCTTCCTGTATTCAATCCCTTTTTCACGGTTTCTCATTTCTACCTAGTTCTTAGCTCCTCTTTCTTTCACTTATAACTATTCAAATTTTAATGTGGTTTTTTGAATACAATGACACTGTGATAATGATTTTGTATACCGTTTTTGACTTGAAGGCAGTTGGCACGATGATTTGGTGCTGCTATTTGGTGCTCGGCCTAAAATGCTAGTAGGGCGCTAGTGGGAAATGGCGAAAGAACGGAGTGAAACGGTCAAAATCCTGCGAAGAAAGAGCCTCCGTTCTCAATGTGTTAGAAATCAATTTTGGACGAGTTTCCTGTAGGCATCTTGCCAATAACCGCTACCGAAGGCTGCATATGTGTACTCATATATCCATGCAGCATCACGGCCGCTTCATACCAATCCCTTCGCTTCATAATTTGCTTAGCAAATGAATCGATTAGAGCGTCAGGAACGGTCGTCCATTTGTGGGCGGGCGGGCGTTTGGGTCGGAATGTTGTGGCTTGATAGGGCCCTTATAAGGGCACCTTCCTGGCATTATGCAGCGCCTGCTCAGGGTCGCGGAATTCCGTCCTGCCAGGCGTATTGATCCTACTCGTCTTGTGGGATTTATCGTGCCAACTGCCTTAAGGTCGTGACACAGAAGCCAGTAAATGAGGGTAGAGTTCACTATACGGGGTACGATATGTGCCAACTGCCCTTATGGAATTCAGTATCAGGTTTGCTATTGATGTCTGATGTCTTGCAGTGGTGCGTCATGTTGATGTCGATCAAAATCGTTATCACAGTGTCCTGTATCAAAAACTACATTAAAATTCAATGTCAAAGTGAAAAAGAGGAGCTAAGAATCAGGTAGAAATGAGAAACAGTGAAAAAGGGATTGAATACCGGAAGAAAGAACATAAAGGGAAGCTGGGGTCTGGTACAATTGCATCGCGACAGTTGCAGCGCGACAGTTGCATCGCGACAAGTCTGAACGCTGCCTAAGAACGAATTGGACCGAATTCATCATATTGTGATCGTGGGCAGTGTTTCAGGTTTCGCTGTGCTGACTATGAGTCATCCCACGGACATGAATAATATACACAAGGAAGGAGGATAAAGGCAACGCTCCTCGAAACATTCACTTTCTGCCGGTGCTTGGGGCTTCTCATCTAGCTTTCACCTTGTCGTTTC